TTATGTTACTGCTAATTATGTTATTTTAGGACATAAATTGTTATGAGACAGGTTATGTGGTTAAAATAACAATTACAATAACATTTGTAAAAAGGCTAAAGACTAAATAGTTTTCTTCTCAAATTAGCGTTATTGTTTCATGATTTCATCTCACTAACCTCGCTTTCCTTTGTGGTGTCTGCTGCTCCTTCTCTGGGTGGTGTTCTTATTTCCCTGCATAACAAAAGAATGGTTTAAATTGGATATTTGCAAAACTACCTCTTTCACCAGGGTGTGGCAAAAGATTCTGGGTTCTAGGTACAAGCCATTTTTGTGGGCCAACACCACATTTTCTTCATATATTCTCCATGCGCCCCCTGGTCCAATAATACACACAACGTGACTGTGATTTTTACAAGATGGTATATTGAACACACATGATATGGTTCAGTGGGGCAGAAATACAGTAAACACGCTTACACCTTAAAGGCACACTCTGTTTTTGGTGGAGGGTCTGCTGCTTGTCTTAGATGTTATTGCTTTGTCTGGAATGTCTTGGTATAGCATTAAATGTATCCATCTTGCATTTAATAAAATGGCTTTTTATTGACCTAAAAACAGTGAGTGGGCTCTCCTGAGCCATGTAACTTCGCCCTGTGGCGTCACCCTCTGTGTCTGAAGGGATAAATAAGTGTAATGCCATACTTTGGAACATTCCAGGCAACATCTCCATGGAGAGAAGCAGGTGACAGACCCTCCTCCAGAAAACTTACACAGCACAGTGCATAAAAAAACACAATAAAAAAGCCAACATAACATTAGAAATAGATGGAATACAGATTCAAAGAGTAAATTAAACCAAATTTTTAGGAGTTATGATTGATGAAGGTCTAAACTGAAGGTCTCATATAAATTACACAAAAGGCAAAATTTCCAAAGCCATTGCTGTTCTGCATAAAGTAAAGTTCACACTAAATAGTACAGCATTATTAACTTTGTATAACTCTAATTGCACCATATCTGATGTACTGTGTAGAAATTTGGGGGTCAACATGTAAAACTTACCTACAACCTTTATTTATTTTACAAAAAAGGGCCTTGAGAATTGTCACCAACAGTCATTGTAGGGAGTCACCCAACCCAATATTTGTTCAACTTAAAGTGTTGAAAATTCATGATATTGTTGACTTAAGTATCCTCAAAGTCATGTATAAAGCAAAGTGCAATGTATCACCTGTAAATATTCAAAGACTGTTTGAGATGAGAACAAGCCACTACAATTTAAAAGGAACCTACATGTTTTAAAAAAAAACAGATTCAGAACCAAGGTTATGGAGCGAAGCATCGCTGTGAAAGGAGTTCACTTATGGAATAGTCTTGACAAAGAAATAAAACAATCAAGTGCAATGATGACATTTAAGAAATACATAAAATCAAATGCAATGTGTATGTATGAAAAAGAAAACTAAGTTTATGTGCATAAAAGTGAAGATTTCTGTTTGCAATTGATCAGTAATTGTGCCTGAACTGATTTGGAATGTTTAGTAGCCATCAGTGTTGATGTATTGTCTTGACAGGGAAAGGGGGGCAGATAACATTAGATTTCTCTTCTTTCTGCTCCTTTTCATTCATTTCTTGTATATTTGATGTTGTGACACTCTCAATGTCTTTTTATACTTTATGAATGAAATAAAATAAAAATAAATAAATAAAAATAAAAGGAAAAACACTATGACACAGAAAACATAATAAGTCAATCCTGAATATGAATTGAAATTTTGATGGAAAATCTGATTGTAAATTGAAACTGAATTAATTCAACTGACTTTTGCCAAGTTTATATTTATTTTAGAGTTAGAGCCACAAATGTCTAAATCATGGCCCTCTCTAAACAGAGTGGTGAGGCAGGGCAGACGTGTAAACACAAAAGCATTTCCTGCTCCACGAGGCAAACACACACTGTGGACTCTATTTCATGCCTTACCTCTTCTGCTCTCTCATCAACCTCATCTGTCTGCATCACATTGTCTCAACAATTAAAAGTGCTTAGTGAATACATCCATATATTGAGGTTGTTATGTTAGAAAATAGTACAATTATCAACTGAATGAACATAGGGCCATAAATTACACAAGTTATACATGAAAAGCTTTGTGTAAGTAAAGCAATATGCATATACATTATAAAACTCGGGAGTATAAAGATGTAAATACAGCAAAGTAATTTTCTTATCATCGAAATTATTAAAAAATGTAATTCTCTACATAGAAGTTAAAAGTTTTTTCTAGGTACTGAGTATTATATTCACAGGACTAAAGCATGACTACATCAAGCCTAAACTGGGCGCAAATCAGGACAAACGTGAACGCACCCATATCATTTCTTTTGCATAAAATAGTCTGTATATTGTTGTTTACACATTTCAAGTACTCTCTCTTCTCTCCTGTGTAGGCCCTGTGTCTCCTCTCTTGTCCACACGGATTAGGACCTTTGAAGTTGGATTTGGTTAAAGTCGTACATACACGCGACACTGCTGTGGAGCAAACAGTCAGCTCTCTCTCTGAGCCCTGACTGAGACTGCAGTACTCCAGCACACACTCTATAACACTATAACACTCCCTGCTCCTCTCTGTTTTACTCCCAGCGTCTTATGTTACTGGTAAGCACATTACAGCTGGGTAATAATCCAATCATGAAATCCAAGTCATGCCAGGTTCCTCTCACAGGTCCACACCGTGACTCAGCACCATTTCAATTTGACAGGCCGATAGCTGAACAGGGTTAAGGTGGCGTTTTGATTAAGTTAAGTGTTTTACTGTCTTTATTGTACGGAGATTAAGTGCATGTGTCCATAACTCTTAAGGCTCAGGAGCAGAAGCCTTAAACTTTCATTGAATAAAGATGTATTCAATATAATCCTATAGAGATGCACTTGATCCAGAGGTGAAAGAAAAGAAGTGCTCAATATCTGTGGCGCAGTGGAAGTACAAAAAACTCACTTGAGCGTCAATGCGTCTATTATTACATTTTAGATTTAACTATAACATATTTTTCTTTTTGTTTTGCCTTTTATTATTATTATTTTTTTAATATTTTTTCCCATTTTGGTGAAGTCAGTATCTCCCACCCCTACAGCTACTATTATTCATCCGCATTAGCACGAGGGCAGCATAAGCAACTTCTATAAAAGACACATACAATTACTTAAGTAAATGAACAAAGAAATATATGTTTGAACTGAACTTTTCTTCCTCTAGACGGCAGTTTTAGTCTTGGCACTTTAAGGTTATTCATTCGTATTAATTTGTGCCTTGTTACCTGAAAGTATTAGATTTTCTTATCAAATCTGCCAAAACTCAACAAAGGTCTTAAAATAACAATGATTTCAACTTCAAAATGTTAAACCTCCATCTAAAACCACTGAACTCCTGCACTGAAGTAAGTACACGCCATATAGCTTCACAGAGTTTCTTTTTTCTAATAAAAGAGAATTAATTGTTAAATAAAATATCTGCCCAATTGTGCCTGCTGTGATTATTAAAATGATATAGGTTTGTGGTTGGAGGTGGAGGCAACTTTTCTGATGCACACTCCACTAAATTCTTTCCATGGAGATGTTTTTGCCTTGAATGTTCCACAGTATAGCATTAAACTTTTCCATCTGGTGACGCTAAGTTAAGGATCAGATCTGTGAGACAACTCCACTCATAAGAAGAAAGTAGCCTATGTTTTCAATGTATTTTGTGGAAATAAAAAACTAAAATTGAATAAATAGAGATAGTCTCGATAAGTTTGAACATTCCAAGCAAAGCAATAACATCTCCATGGAGACAAAAAGTGACAGTTCTCCACTTGACATGTTACATAAAAATGTGTTTTATTCAACAAACCACGTGCACTTTCTCAGATGTATTCGTTGTTGTCACATTTGGCAGTGTTTAACAAATGTGCAGTTCAGGTGACAGAAGAAAACACCCCGATCTTTCCATTGTGTTTGGATGCATTCACTTACTGTATCAGACAATAAAGAAGACCGAAGACTCTCCTCCAGAGTGATGAAGATGCCTCGTGTTTACAGTGTATCCCTCATGTCTTTCTCAAAGGAGAGCAGCTGACGTGTGAAAGGTCGCCCTCTAGCGGACATATAAAGTTAAAAATAAATCTGTAGAGATGCTGTTATGGATTTACCTGAGGTAGAAGTGTCTCATTGCACAGAGAAAATCATATCTGAAGATAAAATGTTAAAGAGGATGATGTTTTTTGTGTTTTGGCACTTAAAGTTTGCTTAAAAATGAACACGAAGACCAAATAAAATTGGGGACAATGGTTGAAACTCAAATGTGAACCTACTAGTCTGCAGCGAAACCAGTTGGCTGAAATTCGTATCGGTGCTGAGTGCTCTAGGCTCCGGGTTTTCCGCCTTGCCCCTCCCCTGTATTTCCTCGGCGCCTGCTGCTTGCTCGGAGCTCGCAGTGAGAAGAGGAGGAGGACCGTCTATGATTGGCCAACCCGGGAGAGCTTGTTCGGAGGCTGGCGCTGTCTTCATTCCCCGTGTGCGTGTTTACACCTTGCGGTCTCATTTGAGAGGAAGACACCTTCAAAGGAGTGGACGCGCGCCCGGGACTCCAGCTTTATTTCTGGCTACTTCTCCAAAAGATTTCCCGTATACACAAGTTTTCTTTCACGGAGAGTTCAGAGCTGTTATGCGTCAAACTTTTGGGTGACTTTTGGGGCGCACACGGTGGCTTATTGAGGCTATTACGGCCAGGACCTGGACATGAATTAAGCGAGGAGGAGTTCAAAAGGGTTTTATATTTCAGAGAGTGGCACAAAAGGAGCACTTCTTCAACCGGTCATTACAGAAATCACAGGCTTCGCTATGTCTTTACGGGCTGCGTGATGGATGTGCTCTGAGCGTTTTTGTCTGTGTGCGTCAACGGCGAAGAAGAGTGAACTATTTCCCCAAACAAAAACAACTATTACAGATAATACTGGACTCTCAGCATTCTGTTGTCTGTGAGAACTCCAGCCAGTGGCGCCTTTGCCACAGAGGCACTCTGAAACAGCGCGCTCCACGCTGTCTGCTCATCCAGGGACGTTCCTCATCGGAGCAGCCGGAAAAGATGCTCTGTGGTCGCACGCGGCGCGAACAAGGACTCGGTCCCGTGGCGCTTCTTCTGCTGCTGGGCAGCTACGGCGTGTCTGCCACTGGTAAGTCTTTGACTAAAATGATACATGGCTCTATTTCATGTGATTTACGCAGACTGGGACCTCATTGTGCTCTAGATCTCTTGATAATAAAGTTGGAGTAGGCGGTTTTAAAATAAATGGAATTAGGGCAGTGGCCTTGTTTTCTCTGATGCTTTTTGGAGCCGGGGGCCCAGAGGTCATTTAAGTTGCTTATCTGTCATCTCCATGTCCCTCTTTAAAACGCCCCGAGACCCCGGCTATGTTGTTACTTCTTCCAGACCACTTCAGCCCAAATGTGCTGCAGGCACCTTGCGCTTTTTGTTCACCCCGTGACCTAAACAGATATCCACTTTTAACTTGTTCTCTTAATATAAAGTTGTGAAGTAAAATAAAGATATCTAAGGTATATCTCAGTAGTAAGCATACAGCAGTTTGCATTGGTCCAAATGCTTGACTTCTCAGCAGTCAGCTTTAATTTGGTAGTCCTTGCAGTCTTCTGTTTTACAGTGGAGCTCACAGCTCTTGTCTCGCAGTGGAAAAATCAAAGTCCCCCGGTGCGAAGGGAGTAATTACGCCTTTACTCAATGCAGTTCTGCCTTTTCCAAAAAGAAAGCCAAGTACTGAGAAGTAGCACAGAAGTCGTCAGGTGCTGAGCTGACTTCTGTGATGGCAAAGACCACATTTCACACACTGGCGTTCATAGGTGTGAACTGGCCATTTCCACCACTTGCCCTGCACACTTGGCCAAAATCACTCTAGCATCCACTGAAAATTATAGTCATTTATTTATTTATTTTAAATTGCAATGGTTGTCTGATATCTCCCTTAATTTAATAACTTAAAATAGATCATTAGGATTTGATTGATATATGTATATTTTTAATTCAAAATAGCCAAACCCATACTGAGTTTTATAGCCTAGTAAATCATTACTTGCATCAATAATGACATTATTGTTATTACCAATGAGATGAACTATATAAAACACATGTACTGCCATACCTTCTCTAAAGCCATATGGTTACTTCATTGTACTTGTGCATTCACCAGATGCTTTGAAACCATTTAAAATAAACCATTCATCTTCTAATATATATATATGTATATGTAGGGCCAAACCCACTTTTACATGTCGGCAGCATCAGAGAAATCATATTGGGCAGTGACACACGGACAAACTACGTTAGTGAATAGGACTTTGCCTGGGCATTAAGTGACTGTGCATGACCTTTTATTTAAATGGAAGATTACTGCTGTATTGACCTATTCCTGGACTGTCCCGGACCCCCGCAGCCCCCCTCTCTTTGGCTTCCCAGATCTGATTGAAATATAAAGCAGAAATCTGAGGGTTTAGTGGATTGTAGCTTTAAGCTCATTTTACACTGGGAAAAAGAACAATGTCGACCACAACAAGAAAGAAGCCGCTTATGCAGAAATGCCACTTGGAGGAATAACAAAGTATATAAGTCAATTTAATATAATCTGTCTATGTGTCAGTCCAAGTTTGCGGCCTTTACCATGACTGCTAATAAGAAACGGTACTTCTCTGGGTCCTCCTTGTCTTGATGTATTATTCCCTGAACAGTCCAAGCAGAAAAGCAGCTTAAGTTTATTAAAATTGTGGACCATTCTGAAATCCATGCATGTACTAGAAATGAGAAACATTGATATAAACTGTTTGGGATGTGGACTTGATTGGGGGAGCCACCGTGGGGATCAGAAAGGTGCATATAGCGGGCAATGGGTCAGTACTAGACATTTCTGTGAAGGATACTATGGAAATGGTCTCAGTAAGGGATTTTTACTGTCAGTATTAGGCAAAGAGAATACTGCCTCCCTTGTGCACCTGATGTGGTCTGAATACTGCTAAAAAATACTGCTATCTTACTTGTTTATTTTGGCTAACCCAATAAAAATGATTTTGTCACAGTAGAAAGTTCTACAACTATTCTTTGCAGTACTTTCATTTGACTACTTCAAAAAGAAAGCTTCTGCTGTACTCAAGGTAAGGGCAGTGTGTTGTATAGTAAACCAGTGAGTGCGCGTGCCAAATTCTTAAAGGGGACATATTATGCAAAATAGACTTTTAAGAGCTTTTAACCATTATAATTGTTTTCCCTTCTTGTTTACCCCATCAAAGTTGTATTTAGAATAAAGATCCACGGGTGTCATAGATTATAACTATACAACAGACGCAACAGACAAAACCCTAATATATCTTCTTTAATGAACATAATTTTAATAGAAACTTGTCTGCCTGATATTAATTAAAAAGAACTTTATATTTCTGTATGCAGGCTGAGCATAGTGAGTGCCCCAGTAAACTTTTTGTTGGATGGATATATTTAGGCAAAGCATGATAGGACACAGACTCCATCTATCTTATCTCCCTCTTTAAGCTGGAGCCTGCTTCTCTGTTGTATTGTGGATGTGCTGAGCTCATGTTTCTTCCATAGTGCTCCTCTTTTGGTGTTGACATATACATTAATTACCCTGACTTGCTTGGAACACTTGTCTGAAGCTACGAAGCGGATGTCCACTCTTTCTCTCTCCTGCCCCCTCCCTCTCTCCCCCTCTCCCTCTTTACTGTGCGTGAATGCCTGTTATTATTAATGACTTCATCACAGTTATAGCGACATACGGGAAGTGCGTTGTCATATTTTAGTCTGGGATGCGAGACTCCCAGGTGCCTGCTTCTTGAGAGGGGTGGAGGAGGAGGAAGGGGAAGGAGGGAGGGTGGTTTCAGGGTGCAGCGGGTTGATCCGGTCTGAGGAGGTCAAAGCGGAGGAGCAGGGCAGAGTGTTCGGAGTCACTAAGCGTAGCATGTTGGACACTCCCATAGATGAATAGTGACACTTTGTAGATATGCTGTCTCATGTGTGTTAAGTGGGGGAATCCAGCTGAATAAATTGTGTAAGAGAGCTAATTTATTCTCCTCAGTTCACTGTAAATCAAAAGAGTGACTTCAGTAAATCATGTTTGCAGTTTGCTTTTTAAATATTTTTCCTTTATTAAAGGCCTTGTGCAAAACTTGACTCTTGTGAAGTTGTAGCCATGTTGAAATGTTGTTACCTCATCAGAAATATACTCAGAGTTGTATTTTGTTTCATCCACACATGTTTGAGTAACCCTTTATTATTTGTCTGTCTACATCTCCAAAGCTCAAAATGTTCTGTTCCACCTTGTGATGTCATGTAGCGATAGCTTTTAAGATAACGCCTACACTTTACCTTTTGTTTAGTAGAGATTGGAAATTATCCAAATGATTCTAGTGAAGGTGTATGGAGTTTGGAGTGTTAAACACAGTAGAGCACATCAGTTATTACCATATGACATCACAAGGTGGAACAGAGTGTTTTCTGTTTCAGAAGAGAACACAGCCTAAATATGCATTATTATAGTGTTAATCATGTGTGAATAAAACAAAACAAAACTCCATGTATGTTTTTGATGAGGAAACAACGTGATAACATACATCAGAAAACAGACAACTAAATACATTTGGGGAGTAAGTTCATCTAACTGATTAATGACAAAGTGGGATGCGATGTGTAGTAGGAGTATTGGTTGCTGAAATTGTAATAGGATTGACTGCAATACTGAAATTTAATTGGTGTTGTTAGATTTTCCAAATTATGACACTAAACTGAATGAATTATACTGTTGAGGAATGTCCCATCTTGACTTTTTGATCCACGCAAAAAGAAAACCGTGTGTCAACAGCACTCACCTCTCACAGACACCCGAGTGGATTTGGCCTCAAAGATGCACAACAGATTGAGATGTCAGATTAGATCAGGCGTTTGTGCAACATCTAGTCATAACACAAGTACTGCCAGAATCCTGCATCTGCGCCGTCCGACAGGTGCTAGGGCGCTGCGTAAACAAACAGGCTGTATTGGACCGGCCGATGGGACAGCTCGTTCCTACAGCGTATCCCGGGGTAGTAAAGGCCAAATACGGTCACTTTTTGTCCCAGAGCGGTGCATTAGTTTTACGACTATGGGATGGGATTGCTACCCTCTGTGCTGTATTATTCATATGTGCAAAGTGGTCTTAGTTAATATTTAAAATGTTGCTTATGATGCTCAAAATCTGGACATCAGACACAGCACAGAGACAGAAGGAGGAAGAAGGAGGAGGTCTGTGTTCACTGATGTTACTGACCTGTATGAATGAGGTACCAGAGCAGATGTTAGAACACCTATGGATATTAATAGACTAAATAAGAGTGTCTATAAGTACATACATACACAGGTACATCAAGGATTCATTGATGTTTGCACCAAGAACGTCCTCTCAATATTCTCAATGTGGATGCCCTGATAAAGGCTGTTAAAAATATAAAAAATCCGATATTAATTGATGCTAGTACTGTTATTTGATGTTGAAAATGACATTCATTCTTGTTTAAATTTAAATCATCACCGATCTTATCCGTATAGAGTATTAAGTCTATTCCCCAGCATCAAAACTGAATTTGAAATTTTAGTATTATGACAACATTACCACCGATAATGATATATATTCTGATGCACAAAAATGTTATGATATTGGTTCATGGATGGGCCAATCAAATCATGTAATAAGACTTTAAAAATATTAAATGTTTTGTGAGAAGTTTTATGAGAAGTATAAACTTACTACAATAAGAATGTACAGATGGTTAAAGTTTTTTGTTTTGTTTTTTTGGACAGAACAAGCATCTTTATTTCTTAATAATAAAAATGAAGCTCAGTAGTTGAAGTTACTCATGGTTTCCTTGTTTGTAGGCAACATTTTGAGGAACCATGTATAATATCGTGTTTTGAATTGTTAATACAGCATTAATACATCATGAGAAGAAGTCTATCTTATCTCCACTGCTCTCTTTCCATTCACGCTTTGAGAAACTTAATACTATATACTAAAATGGGGTAATATGAGGCAATGCTATTTCTGTAAAAAAAAAAAAAAAAAAAAAGCAAAAAGAAAGTAAGAAAGAAAGAAAGAAGAGATGGAGGAGAAATGAATCCATGAGA